CAAATTTCCATGTAAATGTACCTGTCCAAAGAAAGGAACCTCGCTAGACGTAGTAATATGTTATATCTTATTTTGTAACTAGTTATTTGGAGTTCAAACATATCTTTACAGAAATGAGATGATGTGGTATGATTGCCAATAATTGTATTTACAACATACATGCACATGTATATTTAGATCTGTTCGTATAAAGACCTGTCAGTTGTTGAAATTTGAGGTTGCCACTTGGGACCCATCTATTTTTGAAACATCTAGATCATCTAGATGTCTTGGTTTTTTCTCTCATTTGAGTGATATATCATTTATATGTACCCTACATCTACTTTTATTCATTAAAAGTATGGCCCGATATCAATGATTTAATTGCACACAGTATTTCAGAAAACTTGCTATCCTGGTATACACATGTATGCATTTCAAATATTATGCCAAATAGTGTGTCAAACTTTTTGAAATTTATAATACATGTATATATTTAATTTAAAATGAGGAGGAGGAGGATACTTTTATTTTTCAGAAAGAAGTGTTTGTTTTGGATCATTTACATTAGACACTTGAATTTTCAATATTATCGATTGTCGTATTGTTATCCAAGTTTTAAAATGCAACATTTTAGCAGGGACAAATTTGATCCGGCACTATGAGTGGGTTATACATGTATATGTTAATATATCCCGAGTACAAAAAGGGGACGGTGTTATATACACCTGTTAAGTTCTTAAATATTGTAAAATGATATTCGGATTCAGCTTGAAAGGAGGGACGGGAAGTGGGAGTCAGGGAAGCGGGAGTCAGGACGGGGACCCTGGCAAGAGGGGCAGTAAAATAGGGATGATTCTGGGAAAAGTTCATACCGATTTTAATTTTAGAGAAAAGGGAGGTTAGTTGGACTTTGGGAAAGGAAGTGGGAATCAGGGACCCCCTGTCCACCCCTCTGATAAAATATCCCCGCTGAGCTGTCCCCTATTATTTTGATGCCAAGGCTAAATTTAATACTATTAATGCTGGGAACGATAAACTGTTCATTTTAGATTATTTTGTTTTGAACGCAAAAATCGAAGAACAGGGATTCAATGAAGAGCTGTATACGAACCCCCCTTTTTATGGAAATGCTTTGTCTGGTCGTCGGTTTCAACATTTTATTATCATTCAAGGAGTTATTTCACAAATCAAACAAACACTATCGTACAGATAGGAATGTGTGTTAATACATCAAAACAGTCAACAAATCTTCAAACAATGTACTTACGTTACTTCAATCAGACACTGCAAATAGTTATCAAATGACAAATGGAGCGAAATCATAGCGTAGATATTTTCGGAAGATATCGGGATTCTAATCCATTCTAACATTTATACGAATGAGCCGATTTCTATATACAGTCTTCAATATATATATTGCGAAACAATATTAAAAGAAATTATATTTTTCATTATGTTATAGAAGAATATTATAACAGTTATTATTTTTATCAATTTATATAAAAAAAAAAAGGCGAAACACATGTTAACAAAAAGATGTATACATCGATTTTGTCTCTAATAAAAAAAAGTGTATTTATGTATTTATTTAATTATTCATCAATTATATTTTTTTGTATTTCGTTTTCCTTTTATTGACTCTTTGCTTACCAAAGGGAAGCAATCCGTATATTATTTTGATACACTGAACACTACTGGACAACAATTCTATCGATGAACTGACATGGTCTAAAACGTACTTAACTCTACTGATTTGAACGCAAGGCGTTTTTTTCTTAATTACCTGAACCAGTACTGATCGATACTTAATCGCTCGTGGTAGCCAGTGTACTGAACATGTACTGGACAACTGAAAAAGGTCTTGACATTTTTCCTTGAGGTAAATTCAGGCGTTTAAGAGTTGTTCAGTTTGAAATGACCGTTTCAGTAGTAAAACCCGTTACTAGTGATTTGTCATTACAATGATGGTATGGAAAGGCAAGACAAACATAGGGTTATAATGACTTATTGGATATGATAGTTATTCATAAAATATCGTACAGTTTAACTACTTTATAGGTTAGCTTTTATCATGGAAGCATTAAATGAACATGAAATTGAACTATTATTATGCTCATTCATATCCTCACTAATGTCTTAATGGAAGTGTCTGACTCAATTCTCAAAGTACGTGATTGCATGTTTGTGTTGGGAATCTTTGATGCCACCATTGCTTTTCCAATTAACCATATTTATGTTGTCACATAATTTGTTTTCGAATGTCATATCTACTTACCAGAAAAAAATGTGATTATTTGTTCACTTTCACTTTACTGAATTTATATGCTTTTTATCTGTAAGTTATGGTGACAAAATCAAAAAGGTTCAGAACATACTTCAAAGATAAACAGTCTGGGAATAAAACATGTAAATCAGCTACATTTTAAAGGAAAATAATTTTTTTTTTTCACATCGGTATATATTGAAAATGTTGAAAAGTAGTACATTATGTGAAGAAGACATTGCGATGTGCATGTAACGTGCATGCATATGTTGTCGGTTGATTTAGATTTTAAGTTAAATGTTTTTGATTGGGTTTTACTATATTATTCATTGCATTCTATTTATATATATTAAATGACATTTTAACTGCGCACGAGGATTTCTGCATAGTATGTTTATAAGATAACATAATACATCTTATATATACACCTTGCATTAGATAAACAAAAACATGGTACTTTTTGTATGCACCATAATTGCGTATTCTATTATATTTCACAACTGCAACCCGTCAAGTGGCCAACGCCGATTTAATAATTGAAGAAGATTGGAATACAGCTATATTATTTAAAAGGAAAAGAGCAAACATAAGCCGTTTTGCCAAATTGCACATACCTTCCAGGCAGATAATGGGTAACGTTTAAGCGTTGAAAAGACGATTTTAGCTTTGAATGAAACTTTAATGTAATGGTTTGTGCTCTGCCTGTAGGCGAATCTGCCATTTTGCTACATTTAAAAGAATGAGTACAAATTAAAAATGGAGTACAACTTTTTTGTTGAAGATTAAGTCAAATCTATAACACAGCCGCGACTTCGCGGATCCGTGACCTACAGTACGCCTTATTTATAGTCTTGATTTTAAATCACTTGCACTAATAGATGTAAATAGTATTCAATTAAGTTTTTGCATGTCTGTATATTTTAGGACAATAATATTTTATGACGGAATGCATATACCCTATTTGCTTTAGTATTTAAGTTCGTAATGTTTTATTTTCATATATTATTAAGTAGTATTAAAATTAAGAAATGTCTTTTAAGAGTCGTGTGACAAAGGTGTTTCGATAACGGAAGAAATTAATAAGAGAAGAAGAAGACATATATTATTGGTATAGGTATCGGATTCGAACCGGAACGTGTACGTAGATGTTCGTAGCAAAAATCTTTATCAAAATTTGTTAACAATAAACTTATTCAAAATCTCCAATGAAAGGCAATAATTTGACCATAATGTAGATAAGTATTAATTTTAAAAGTTATGTTTGTAATAAGCAAGGTGACATGTTAGTTCTGAATCGTTCTTCCGTTATATAGGAAATAGCATATAAGTTGTGTCTAATTCATGTACGTTACTTTTTCACATCGGATATGTTCACACTTAGGCCTTTTTTCTGACGCCTATCTATAGCAACATTTTTCCAAGTCATGGTTCCAATCTATGAACTCACATAACTAACCCGTGATATTGGATAATTAGTTCGTGATATCGATTTAATAATCCGTGCTATTGGATTATTAATTCATGATATCAGATTTATAATCCGTGGCCTCTGATTAAAAATGATATATTTAGTTTCAAAGATTTTTTTGTTTGAATCAAAGTGAATTATTCCTCCCTAAGACAATATACTTGCATCTACCTTAGCCAAACTGACATTATCAAGGACACTTGATTTTTTCATTGACAACATATTTAATACATTTAGAAGATATGTTTTTCAACAAACAGTCGACATTTCCATGTGAACCAACTGGTTTCTTCTTCTTGTCGACTTGTTCTTCAATTCATATTAGCATGACTTCATACAGTAACTTGTTAGGAAAAATAGCAGTAGCATTATACTTGATGTTTTCTTGCTAAATGATTCAAGATTTAAAGATTATTTTGAAGGCATCTATCCCATCTAACTTGATATAAAAATACCACAGGTACAGTTAAACCAGCCTCACATCTTGACTTACATCTAGAAATTGACATTGAGGGTCGGTTGAAAACAAAACTTTATGACAAAAGAGTTGCGTTCAGCTGCCAAAGCGTAAACTGTAGCAACATTCAAACAGCGCTTGCATACTGAGTATATATCTCCTAATTGATACGATATTTTTACGGACGCCATCACGAGTTGTTTGACTGTTATGGAATATCTGTTTCACAGATGACGACAGACATGCTTCAATATTCGTAACTACAATCCCGTTCGGTTTACCCTGAGTGTGACTTACCGAATTAAACCTATCACCGGGATTACACTTACATTATCAACACGATGGGTACTGTATGTGGAGCAGGATATGCTTTCACGTCCGGAGCACCTTCAATCATCCCAATTTTTGTGTTGCTTAGTCTTTAAATTTGTATGATGTGTTTTGTGAACTGTTGTTGTTTGTTTGTCTTTTTCTTTTAAATCATAGCCTTGTCAGTTTGTTTTCGACTTTCGATTAGGTTAAATGTCCCTTTGGTGTCTTTAGGTTTAATCCACCATTTTCTACATAGAAAAATGCTTGTACTAAGTCAGGAATATGACAGTTGTTATCGATTTGTTTGATGTGTTTGAGCTTTTGACTTGCCATTTGATTACGGACTTTCCGTTTTGAATTTTCCTCTGAGTTCGGTATTTTTGTTATTTTACATTTTCTATTATTTCAAGAAGACGATTTATAGAAATTGTGTATACCATGTACTGTTCAAAAGATAATTAATATAAATTGTCAAGTTAGAAAAAAAAAAGGTTCTAACAAACACTTTTTAAACAAAATCAAAGAAAATAGTGAACTTTATTAAGTGAAATTAAAAGAATCTCATTACACACATGATTCATAAGAGTAACTGCTTGATTATATTCATAATAAAGTAAAATAGTTAACAGAAAATAGTCTTAAGTAAATTATAATGATTAAAAAACAAAGCAAACCAATAACATTATAACTGATATATTTCAGTTTTTCAAAATTCATTTAGATTTAATCTGAAATTCTATGTTTTGATCTTTTTTATACATTATTACATTTGATTAAAACCTGATAATTTTATTTCTCCTGTTTTGTCACCTATACCACTAATCACAAAAGGAGATTTGATCAGCGACCAATCTATTAAATTCGTAAGCGAGAAATTAAATGTCGATCTCTCTGTTTGCCAAATATATAGTGAAAATAAATAATAGGTTACTAAAGAATGCCTCAAACTTCTTTTTATAAGGCAATGACCAAGCATTAGCTGTGTCATTTCACATAATGAACACAGCAAATGGAAAACCTTATTTTAATTTCAAAATTCAACTTTTAATTTAAAAGTTATGTTAATATCACAAACCAACAAAAACATATTCACTTTGTGTAGATTTAAAGAGTCGTTGATAGTAAAACAAATGTTGGTTTCATTACCTCATCAAGATAAAAGATTTTCAAAAAAGTTTTGCTGTCTTAACACATTTGAAGATCAAGTTTAATTCTTTTTTATATGCCCTCTATATGATAATATTAGAAAACGATATCTTTATGAAATATTTGATAAGTTCCAAAACTAAAGATAACTACATGAAGATGTTCTACTGATAATGTCAAATGGTGACATTATATAAATAACACACATAAGAAAACATTGTCAACTGAGGCGAAGCCAAGGTTGACAATGTCTTTTCGAGGGGTAACAATCTGCTCTATCACCCTCTCAGATATGTGTTATTTAATTTATTATACTGAAAGTTCTGTTTTAACTGTCGATTAAATTTCAAATTCAAAGTTATAAACTATGACGTCTTGTACATAACAACCATCCGTATTTAATAATGCGCACACTTGATCAAGCGTGTTCGTGAAGGGTAATAGAGTATTTGCCATAGGATAGAGTCGTATTTAATAAAGCGCACACTTGATCAAGCGTCTCCGTAGAGGGTAATAGAGTATTTACAATAGAATAGAGTAAATTAACACCCTCGTATAAGCCAATCAGAATATTGCATTTTTACGTGAAGTTTAATAATGATGTATATTTGAATTGAGTGATTATCTGTATTCTTTATTCAAATAAGAAAAGACAACAGATATGAGAACGAACGTTCTATCTTGACGGTGAACAATATTTACCATAAGTTTGTGAATATTGGATGTGAACCTGGTATTATCCTCCTTTGTTAACTTGATGGACTGACTCTCTCTCTTTATTATTGAACAATCATTGTATGATATATGTATAAATAATGATAATAATAATGTTGTGTTTGTATTTGTATCCCCATTAATCTGATTGCAATGAGCAGTATAATTTTAGTCAAAGTATATAAGTATGAGTAGAAATAACAAACAAATATTGTAAAATGCTTAATCTAGACACTATTTCTGATAGGCTTCATTTATAAGTCCAATTTGTAATTCGGTAAGACATTCATTTACAATCGAGCACATAACATAATAAGTATACGTAAAATAATAAAAAAAAAAAACAATATTAAACTGCATATGATTGATGTGATATGAATTTTTTTTCGCTCTCATTTATTTCTTCTCTGCACGGATATTGTCGTTGATGCGCTGTGTTCTTGAATTGTCCTATATGAAAATGAAAGAAAGTTAAAAAAAAAAAAAAATAAAAAAAACAGATCAATTTAACTTTTATTTTTCTAGATCCGACAATATCTATGGATATTAACATAATTCTAAAATTTGAATAAGAGGCTAAGCTGAAGAACACTATAATCAGAAATTATTCCACAATTACAAAAAAAGTTATTTACGTTGAACACAATGTCACTAAATGGTTTGTAATTTCTTCGACATGTATATGATTTATAGCTCTTATCTAAATATAAAGTAATAAAAAGCTCTGTTATGTCCGGATTAAAATCCTACAACCACATTTACATGCATCAAAACACTAAGACTCTCATGAAGAAATGTGTAAAAATGAAGGAAGCAAAAACCACTTTATCTAATAAATATAAAAATGTTGCTGTTCTTCAGGTATTTTTTTTATAATTTCAGAATCGCTTTTATAAGGATATTCATAAAAAAACTTACAGCATTAAAAAAAAACAAAATTTCACACAATGCACGAATGCACTAATGTTTTTCAAGATGATAATGTTCACGATAGGATATTTTTTTCCTTCTGTTGTGATAAAAGGAGGGAGAAAAAAAAAAGAATTAGACACAAATATAAACAGAACTATTGACGAAATCGACCAACAATTTACATGTAAGATTTAATGATATTTTTTAAGATTTGCTCTAGCAAACTGTATTATTAAGGATGCCTATTCTGCATATGCATATGTAGGCAACACTTGAATGTTGATTCAGACACCTGTATGCAAGATACTTATCTGTATTTGTGGTATCATCTATGTCAAGTTAAAAAGGATACACCGTCTTTTGATATATATTTACTCACAGCATTAGAAGACTCGGTGGGTAGTTTTGAATCCATACGATGGGCGTGTCGTCGTCTCTGATAATGACGGTAGCCCAGCCTGACCTGTATACAGTATAAAACATTGTATATATATGTAAACAACTAGTACACATTTTTGTTAGGAGTCATCTGACGCCAGCCTCCAGTTTCGTGATTTTCCCGCTGTGTTGAAGACCAATTGGTGGCCTCGGCCTGTTTTCTGCGCTTTGGTCGTGTTGTTGTCTCTTTGACAAATTCCCCATTTCCATTCTCAACTTTGGATTAAAGATAAATCAATTTCACCAAACAAATTATATAAATTTTAGGATAAACAAATACATGATAGCTAGTTTACGGATTTATTGATGTCTTAAAGTTACAAAATTCTTCACATGTTTTCTGATACTTTAATCTCTTATACATGTTATATTAAATCAACATAATAAATAGTAGTAAGAAAATGGGTGTCACATGTGGATTCGGATATGTTACTTCCTACCAGTCCTAAATGTTTTTGATGTAGTGTATTAGTCCAAACTTTTCTAATTGGCTTCCATTAATATATCCCCCAGAACTATAAATTAAAGACACGGCTTCCTACGCCTCATTTTTGGACTTATACCTCGAATTTGACATACACGGTCATCTCAGTACCAGAATCTATGACAAACGAGACGATTTTAATTTTGAAATTATCAATTTCCTCTACCTTAGTAGTAATATACCAACTTCACCTGCATATGGGATATACATTTCCCAACTTATTCGGTATTCAAGAGCATGCAGACTTTGTAAAACGTCACCAGTGTCTGAGCAGAAAGTTGATGAACCAGGGGTATGTCAAAGAACGTCTGGTCGTTTTTTAAAAAAAAGGTTCATCGGAAGGTACCAAGACCTTGTTGATAAATATTCCGTATCAACCTCACAAATAATACTCGATGGTCTTGAATTATAGATTATTGGTACTGACGTTGTTTATCATATTAATAACGTGTTATAGTATTCTTTTATTTATAAATTTTGTATAGCCTTTCACTTATGCTTTGTCTCTATGCTTTTTAGTGAAATTGAAAATGGAAATAGGGAATGTGTCAAAGAGACAACAACCCGACCAAAGAGCAGAAAACAGCCGAAGTCCATAAATAGGTCTTCAATACAGCGAGAAAATCCCGCACCCGGCGGCGTGCTTCAGCTGGCCCGTAAACAAAAATGTGTACTAGTTCAGTGATAATAGACGTCATACTAAACTCCGAAATATATAAAAGAAACTAAAATCAAAAATTTTACAAGACCAACAAAGGCCAGAGGCGCCTGACTTGGGACAGTCGGAAAAATGCGGCGAGGTTAAACATGTTTTTTGAGATCTCAACCCTCCCCCATACCAGTAGCCAATGTAGAAAAAACAAACACACAGCAATACGCATAGTAAAACTCAGTTTAAAAGAAGTCCGAGTCCGATGTCAGAATAGGTAACAATAGAAACTACACAAAATGACAATGATACATACATTAACAAAGGACTACTAGCAGTTACTCACATGCCAGCTCCAGACCTCTATTAAACTGATTGAAAGATTATGTCCTCGTCATATGAAAATCAAGCACAATCCCTCCCGTTAGGGGTTTAGTATCATACATCATAAAATATATGAGAAGAACATAACCTGTATAGTATAAAATTGAGAATGGAAATGGGGAATGTGTCAAAGAGACAACAACCCGACCATAGAGCAGACAACAGCCGAAGGCCACCAATGGGTCTTCAATGCAGCGAGAAACTCCCGCACCCGGAGGCGTCCTTCAGCTGGCCCCTAAACAAATATGTATACTAGTTCAGTGATAATGGACGTCATACTAAACTCCAAATTATACACAAGAAACTATAATTAAAAATGATACAAGACTAACAAAGGCCAGACGCTCCTGACTTGGGACAGGCGCAAAAATGCGGCGGGGTTAAACATGTTTTTTGGGATCTCAACCCTTGTGTGTTACAATGACGTGGGCTCTGTACTTATACATCCCGTCATTGTTCTATGATAATTTACGATATTCCCGGGATTGTATTTCCTATCATGATTTCCTTGATAGAGGATTGCTGCTCACAAGGAAGCTATTAAACCAAGAGTTCCAAATGATGAAGTTGAAATCATCCCTTCGTAAATTTTACGGACGCCATCACGAGATGGTTGACCGTTATGGAATAACCGTTTCACAGATGATATCGGTTATGTTTCTTATGTCGTAACTACAATACCCTTCCCTTTTCACGAATGTGTCCTACCGAATTAGACTATTTACCGGATTTGTAATAACATAAGCAACACTACGGGTGCCACATGTGGAGCAGGATCTGCTTACCCTTCCGGAGCACCTGAGATCACCCCGAGTTCTTGGTGGGGTTCATGTTCTTAGTCTTTAGTTTTCTATGTTGTGTCATCTGTACTATTATTTGTCTATTTGTCTTTTTTATTTTTGGCCATGGCGTTGTCAGTTTGTTTTCGATCTATGAGTTTGACTGTCCCTCTGGTATCTTTCGTCCCTCTTTTGCGTTTTATTATATTTCATTTGTGCTAATATCCTTTGTCTATATGTCTTTTTGTGTTTCTTTGTTACATATGACGTGGCTCTGTACTTATGCATCCCGTCATTGTGTTATTGTGCCATGGGTAATGTTTGTTTATATATTTGTTTGTTTTTATAGTGATTAAGATAATAACACAATGTTGACTGCTGTACTCCTATTTTTGACATGTCTACCTATTATGTCTGTTTGTTTTGTTCACCCATTGTTGTCGAATAATGGAATTTGATGCGACTGTCATACAAGTGAGAGGTTTAGCTAGCTATAAAACCAGGTTTAATCCACCATTTTCTACATAAGAAAATGCCTGTACCAAGTCAGGAATATGACAGTTGATATCCATTCGTTTGATGTGATTGAGCTTTTGATTTTGACAGTTGATTAGGGACTTTCCTTTTTGAATTTTCCTCGGACTACAGTATTTTTGTGATTTTATTTTTTACAGACTTTTTTGTGTTTTTGTCGATTTTCGTTTTTGTGTTGTCCGTTTCACTTCAAATTGTGATGTACCAATGAATCCTCGAAGATCAGGAATAATACTGACTTTGAAAACGCCGTATATGAAAAGGTACAAAACAGATGTTGTTTATAATAACAAGTGTCATCTTAAACATAACTACTATATCTGAATCATAACATTCAGACTATCATATTAATAACAATACTAGTAGTTTATTTACACCACCAGGTAGTACCAAGATACAAGAAGTTCAAAACATTAATAACTATTCGCAAAAAACTGCAAAATATGTAACATTTTGTTATCAGATACTCGATTGATATTTGTAGTAATGTTACAAATACATCTATCTTCATCAGGAACGACGATGATCTAAATTGTACCTCAATAAATGTTGTTTACGAATTAAAATAGAGGCGAAGGATACCAAAGGAAAGATCGTAAATATTAAAATATTATAAAACAAAACAAGAATAAAATAAAAATATTGAGCAAGACCAAATATGGCACACAAGTGTTTGCGACTTGATATTACATATAAACAACAATGTACATGACATTGTTAATTATTCAGTTATCAGTCTGGTCATTCAAGTTATTCCTTTTGAGTTTACAGCATCGAAATCTTATACCAAGGGACTTACAATCCTTATAGTGTAACTCCTATCCGAAGACAAAAACAAGACTTCTCGATTTGATTACTGACAACTGTGACAAACTGCGGTTGAAAAAAAACAAAATATGACAAATGTATTCCTTTCAAGTATTTCCTGCAGCTTTGTGAATGTTATGCTATCTTCAACTCTACTTATGGACGTAGAAGCGGCAATGGCATACATTAATTAAATGCTAGTTCTGCATTAATGTATAATCCAATACCTTTTAGCCTTATCGATACACTGAAACGATCTGTTCTAAAAATGTTCCTTTCTAAATCAAAATTTCGACGCCATCAATCAAGGTAAATTCCCTCATCATAAATCAGTTCAATCGAAAAATCCTTCCTGCATAGAAGATCAGTCTGTTTTTATCATATCTTTTACGACTATTGCGACTGGTGAATGTCATATCTCTGGGGTTGATAAATCATTGTAACATCTGAAGTCAAAAGCCAACAATTATTTTATTATATGACCTTTTATCCTTCTTCTTCAATTTTCTAGTATTTGCTCAAAATTCTTTTAAAACTGTTCCTTGTTTTTATACTTTATATGTCATTACCTTTTGCGGTTGCTTATTTTCATAAGCGGAAATATTCACTTAAATTTACTAAAAATAATTTACTGAAAAAACGAAGAGAAAACATACACCGAAAACAAGACGAAACAGAAATAAAGACAGAAATTTACATCACGTCATACATCTACATCATTGACGTTGCCTTGGAATATCAATATCAATATTTGGGTAAATGGACGCTGTTCAAAATCTTATATTAACCTCTCGTGATTTTTGCCGCGGTGAATATGATGTTTTGTTATTATTGTTCCTTTGCTTTTAGCAAATAAACAAACAGAAAATGAATTGTCATATATTAAAACTGTTTATCACATGTGCATATGATATTGCATCAAACCTGTTAGAAACTATTTACAAACTAAAGTTGATATATCAAATAAACAACGGTGTTTTTGCACTTGTCAGTTTTTACACAATGAAATTATGGCAAATATTAGATTAGGTAATCTATGAACATTTACACCAAAATCCTGCAAGTCTATATAAAACGGTTATATTTGTACTGTGCTTTGTTTAGAAAATACACATTTGAACTGGACTAGAAAAAAACCGGTTCAATTAAGAAAGCTGGTCAATGAGGCAACAACGGAAAGGTTGCATATAGTTGCTTGCGTCCACTTCATTTAAACTTGTTTGAATATTTGTTTTATTGACAGTCATATAATATCTTTTACTGCATATATTTGAAGTTTGACGTTTGCACTATTCAATGACTGTACATGTATACTGATACGATCTATTTCTTTGCAGATGTGGGATATATTGTGGGCTATTGAAAGTAATTTTCAGTCACAAACTTCGGAGTATATCATTAATACCAGCAATGCATAATTTTATTTCGTGTTATTGCATTCTATTGCTATGATACATACCTGCTCATTCAAGATACAGTGGAACAAACATATAAAAAAAACCCTGTTTAAAGGATAATAAAAAAAAAGATTATTGTTATTTATTGTAAATTGAATTTTACCGTGAATGTAAAATTATACGATTAGACTTAACACGCACAGTTGATTACTTAATTTTGACAATACCATTGACAAAATTCACGCGTTATTAAACTAACAAATATACCGACAAAAAATTTTGGTACGCACGAATCACTTTTCGTGTACATACGACTTTCGATATCTCTGTGGCAGCATTCCAGCAGCGCCTGCAAATAATATATATATATCTCCCAGTTGATATTTCAGAGCATGCGTTTCGTATCATGATTGACTTGATAAAGGGTGCTGCTTAAAAGGAAGCTATGAAACTAAGGTCCTTCACGAGTTGTTTGACCGTTATGGATTATCTGTTTCAAAGATAACGACGGATTATTTCAATTGTCCTATCATCACGACAAACGCTACACTTGGTGCAGGATCTGCTTACTCGTTTTGAGCACATGAGTTCACATCAGGTTTTGTAGGGGTTATTGTTGCTCAGTTTTCAGTTTTTCAATTATGCGTTATTGACTATTAATTATGTTTTTTTGTCTTTTTCTTTAACGTTGTCAGTTTGCATTCTACTTATAGATATCCATTTCGTATCTTCCATCCGTCCTGTAAATATCTGTAAATATCTTGAAGTTATCATAATGAAATGAAGCTCATGTTGAATTATCTTTAACTGTAAATAATTGATCACAGAACATTTTGGTAAATAATTGCATATAACAATTGTTTGGTTTTAATGATAAGAAAGTAAAAGTATAATGTACCTGGAGAGAGTTGAACGTTGCAAATAGGTATTAGAACATGACCAGATCATCTATCACAGAAAATGCTCCTGGTACCCATGTTACTCCAAACAACGGTAAAATGACACAAATACTTTTTAAGCCAATCCTATGAAAGAACAACATACATAAAATTGAGAATGGAAATGGAGAATATGTCAAAGAGACAACAACCCGGTCAAAGAGCAGACAATAGCCGAAGGCCACCAATGGGTCTTCAACGCAGCGAGAAAATCCCGCACCCGGAGGCTAAACTAAATTAAAAAAAGAAACATACTAGACTAACGAATTTAGGTATGTATTATATTAGACGAAAGCTGTTATACAGTTAGGGAATTGAAGAGCATAATGATGGGACTGCGAGGCTTTTTTACCTGCTTCAAAACAAAACATGTCAAATAAATGAATAGTTCATTGATAAAGTCAAGTTATTTCCTTTCATATGACTAAACAATTAGTCAAGCATTAATTATTCTGTAACAACAATTCTAAGGGTTTATTCATATGATTTATAATATTGCTTATGTTTAAAGTAGTATTTGTGTCTCCATTTGTCCTGTACACTCGTGGATTTTCAACTTTGTTGACTTTATTAACAGGTAATATAAGTGTACCTCTGACACAACAACAGTTCCAACAAAATTACAAAGAAGCAACGACTGAAATCGAAACCTTATAACATCTCTATTGATAACTATGCATAAAGTTACCATTACGTTATCCATTGGTGTCTCGACTCACTAGCAACATGTTTTTGTGGTCTTTTTTTTTTGCGATTGTTTTTTGTTCCGATTGTGAGATTTTGACTGGATGTAGATTATTGTTGTTTTCGTTCATCATATTCATCGTCATATATACATTATTGATCAATCTCTCCCCCGATCACCGTGTATTACGATATCCTACTTATTTATGTGCCATGGTCGCTGAAAATAACGTGTTAAGGGTAAAACCTGAACCTGGTGGCAATGACACATCTACGTTTGCTGAAGCTTTGCGGTTTGTTCCAGGTTTAATCGTACGAATTGCGCCATCCTCTTTTCCTTGTGTAGTGTTATGTTCAGTTTCGATTTTTTAATATGTAAAATTGATAATAATATATATGCTTATCATGTTTGCTTAATATACAAATGTTAACGACATACACATGCTACTCTTTTCTTTTAGTTCAATAATAATGTTTGCATTTTTTAGTGCAGTAACAAAACGGATAGTCCAAGCGGCAACGGAACAATCAAGTGTGATACGATAGTGTTTGTTGGTATCAGTACTGTCTTGTACTGTTTACTCAGTTGTCGTATATTCTGTTATGTTTTCATGAATGATGGATCTCTTCATTTTGTTCCTTTTTAATATTTTTCCTATAATTTCGATGACTATTTCCTGCTAATAATTACATGTTTCCTATCTTCCTTCGTACTGAAAAGATGTTGCTGATCAAAACAATCTTTTTTTTAAATATTTAGCTATGAAATACTTTCCGGTTAGAAGAATAAATTATTTATTCGTTCCAAACATTTTGCAATTGTATTACAGAAAGTAGTTTTAACTATTTTCCCAATATGAAAATTAAATATCATTACGGGTACCGTAATGCTGACAAATTAATCATCAATAGCAAACTTACTTAAATTTCACTTGAAGTGTTTTCGCAGCTAACCCTCTACTGGTCATCATTTTATACACCGTAATAATGATGAACATGAAATTAATCTAAAATAAACGATATAGAAAACATATTTGACAATAAATAATAAAAAAAAATATATAATTCCCTTCTTGAAATAAGATTTTGTATTGTTTTGATGTTAGTCACTCTTTTGGTCTGAGGGGTGGAATATTTGAACTAAATTTTGAATATTTGTTTGGTTTGAATCTTGTTCTTTATTCATGATTTTTATAGTACCTTTGGCAATTTCTTACTTTTTACGCTTTTTAAGATACTGACATATATTTCCGTAGAACAGATATGTTGTTCTTATCTATCGTTTTTTTACCACAGTATTGTCAGTTAGTTTTCGACTATCTCTATTGTAACTTCCGCCTCTTCCGTGAAGGCAATTTCATTTTTGTTTTAAAACTTTACTTTCCAAATTATATGTGTAAACCATAAGTAAAACAGTATTAGGTGCATGTTACGGTCATTAACAAGTACCATCTGTCTGTACAGTTGTTGTGAGGACAGTAAGAGGAGTTTCTGACAAGAGTTTTCAAGCAACAGCACGTTCATTTTATTTGTATACATTAGGCACAAACATACGTCTATCAATCATCACAAAATTTAGAAGTGAATATTAGAATTTAAGAAAACAAAATTAAATTGCAAAATTAATATCTTATCATGATATTCTTAAATTCGGAATTGTAACGTTCTTATATCATTTGTACATACATACCACTATTACAAGTAGTGCTGGTCCAATGAACGCCCAGATGAGGTTCGATTCAAGGGTTAACCAACAACTAAAATAAATAATTGAAGTAAACAAATGTAATCCTCTTGTGGTTAATATATACATGATATACATATTATGACTTGTACATGTTATTCTATTGTGTAGCAAATGTTAGGCAAATGGACACAGGATTTAAAAAAAAGAAAAAAATAGAGACATACAGACAATTCATTTCTGATTCACACCTTCCATATGTTTGCTAGGTATAATCTGCCTGAAGATATTAATAGCCAAGTATATGGTAAAATTGAGAATGGAAATGGGGAATGTGTCAAAGAGACAACAACCCGACCATAGAACAGACAACAGCAGAAGGTCACCAACAGGTCTTCAATGCAGCGAGAAATTCCCGCACCCGGAGGCGTACTTCAGCTGGCCCCTAAACAAATATATATACTAGTTCAGTGATAATGAACGCCATACTAAACTCCAAATTGTACACAAGAAACTAAAATTAAAAATAATACAAGACTGACAAAGGCTAGAGGCTCCTGACTTGGGACAGGCGCAAAAATGCGGCGGGATTAAACATGTTTATGAGATCTCAACCCTCCCCCTATACCTCTAGCCAATGTAGAAAAGTAAACGCATAACAATACGCACATTAAAATTCAGTTCAAGAGAAGTCCGAGTCTGATGTCAGAAGATGTAACCAAAGAAAATAAACAAAATGACAATAATACATAAATAACAACAGACTACAAGCAGTTAACTGGCATGCCAGCTCCAGACTTCAATTAAACTGATTGAAAGATTATGTCTTCATCATATGAATATCAGGCACAATCCTTCCCGTTAGGGGTTTAGTATCATACCATCATAACATATATGAGAAGAACATAACCCGTGTCATGCCAACAACTGGTTTTTAAATAAATGTGTTTAGTGCCAATGCAAAGACCCTATAAGTGAATCAATATTAACGCCAAAATATGCAATCTTTAATGACCTGACAACAGTATCGTAACTATATCCCTTCTTAATAAGTCTATTTAAAGGTTTTGTTAGCTTCAGAGGTGAATACTGACATTTTTGTGCTTTATAAAGAATATTTCCATAAACAATTGGATGTGAAATACCTGAACGTATAAGAAGTCTGCATGTTGAGCTATATTTACGAATGATGTCCTTATACCGATGATAAAATTTAGTAAATGTTTTGACTAGTTTGTGATATCGAAAACCCTGGTGTAATAATTTTTCAGTAATACATAAATTTCTCTCGTTAAAATCTAAAACATTGTTACATACACGAGCGAATCGTACAAGTTGAGATATATAAACACCGTAAGATGGTGACAAGGGAACGTCACCATCTAAAAATGTATAATTAACGATAGGAAATGAAAAATCATCTCTTTTATCATATATTTTAGTATTAAGCTTTCCGTTAATGATATAGATATCAAGATCGAGGAAAGGGCAGTGGTCATTGTTAGTATTAGCTTTATTTAAAGTAAGTTCAACAGGATAAATTTCTTTAGTATACATACTGAAGTCGTCATTATTGAGAGCCAAAATATCATCCAAATATCTAAAAGTATTATTAAATTTGTGTATCAGATGCTGTTTCGATGGGTCCTTGCTGATTTTTGTCATAAATTGTAACTCATAGCAATACAAAAAAAGGTCCGCAATAAGTGGTGCACAGTTAGTCCCCATTGGAATTCCGATAACCTGACGATATACGGAATCTCCAAAGCGAACAAAAATGTTATCTAGTAAAAATTCAAGGGCATATATAGTATCAAAGCATGTCCAATTGACATAGTTTTTTTTGTTTATTGCTACTAAAAAATTACCTAAAAGAGTTTGAACATATATATTCACATTCTGACTTTTTAAATGCCCATTTAATTAGGTGTGTGAATTTTTTCTTAATGAGAATGTGAGGCAATGTGGTATATAGGGTAGAAAAATCAAAACTTTGAACAGATTCAAAATCACCAATATATGCATGCAATTTATCAAGTACTTCCAACGAGTTCTTGACACTCCAAAAGTAATTAATTCCACTATTTTCGAAGGCCTTATTTGAACAATTTATTATCAGGTTTTTGATTGTACCAAGTGTACTGGTAAGAAGAATAGACAATTTAGTAGTGGAACAATGGCTTGAAGACGAAATGAATCTATATTTGTAAGGTGTTTTGTGTAGCTTCGGAAGCCAATAATGGTATATGGTATATGGTTTTATTCAAGAACTAAGGGTTTTTATATTACCCGGGAAAATACATTGAAAAATAGATGGCCAACAGAAAATAGAAAAAAAAAAATAAGTAAATTTCTTGATTTAAGAGAAAAAAAGAGAGATTCTGTTTCTTAATCTCAGCCATTTTCTTTATTTCGAAGATTACTAACTAAACAATAAACTGTTTAATACATTATAAGACCAAATTCATATGACAATGACATACGCTTCTCCGTGATTTGTCAACAGTATAACAAAATATATTTTAATATATGCATTATGATAATATATATAAAACAAATCAACTCAATATAGAATTAAGAAGATGTGGTATAATTGCCAATGAGACCAAAAATGACACAAAAAATAACAACTGTAGGTAACCGTACGACCTTCAACAATGAGCTTAACCCATACCACATAGTCAGCTATATAAGGCCCCGAAAAGACAAATTAATTTAAAACAATTCAAACGAAAAAACTGACAGCCTGGTGATTTATGTACAAAATAATGAACAAAAAACAAATATGATATACAGCAACAAACGAGAACCACTGAATTACAGGCTCCTGACTTGGGACAGGCACATACATAATGTGGCGGGGTTTAACTGGTATGAAGGCGCGCAACCCTGTTCCTAATCTGTGACAGTGGTGTTTGCTCACAGTGTATTCCAATAACGACCAGTCATTTAATCTGAGTTCGAGATACTGACTTTTTAACTTTTGACCTATGTATTGGTATGTGTTCAACCAGTTTTTTTACATGCTAGTGTAATAATTATTTTTCTATCTATTTTTTGCATATTGTATTGGCATTTACTGTCCGAAGCCTTTGTTTACATCTAGGTATCATTTTATGTTTTATCTGACTGTGTATACTTTTTATTGTTGGCATGATATTGCATGATATTCTTAAAATATTTGATGTTTAGTATTTAATTTTTTGTCTGAATTACAAATAAAGTCAATACTAAGTGATTTAAGATTAGACAGTATTATTCAAAGAACAAATAATAGAAAGTTGATAATCTATGCCATGACTGTAAAAAAAATGTGCATCTTTTTAAATTCGTCATAGATACAAAAATAAACATTGTGCATGGGAGGACTCGTGTTTGTGTCTGCAAAAGACTCATCAGTAAAGCTAAAAAAAAAAAAATTAAAAAAGGACAAATGAAGAGCGAAGTTGAAGAGCATGAAAGACACTTCAATATTTATCTTCGTGGAAACGAAGAAACAAATTAGAATTAACATATTCGTTAATTTCAGTCAGATTTCATAGTGATGACAATGCAATACGCTCTTCTGTAGTTGTCCTAATTCTAAATCAGGCATATATTATGTGATTGATCCTTAATATAATCGTAATGTTTCCCTTTAATCTGTGACATTTGGTATTGCTGATATACTTTAATTAATTGATACAAACGTCATAACTTTAGAGTGAATTCATTTATTTGTTCGACCACGACCTGGTTTAGGCAAAAATATTGAACGTTAGTAGCGCTTCTCTGCTAAGCATTTAATAAATAGTAGTTAAATCTAGTGAAGGTAATATTTTCAGATAGTCCAATTACAGACTTCAGCTGTGTGATTAGCTGTAACCGCCATGGCACACCATGTCGGTTAAGTATAAAACAAAATTCATTGTCATTTCACATCAAGAAATTATCGGCCTAAATATGCGTTAAATTGATGCGCTAAATAAGACGTACATCACCTATTCTTGGTCCTCATTCCTATTCACGATACATTTTTCACTTCAAAACATTTTATGGATACGTGATCAAAATACCTGTATTTATATATCAGACCTTACCGCACTAATTACGGGAATTTTGGATACACCAAACTAGGGACTTTATATCTGAGAATCTGGCTATTTGTGACCATAATTTTAGAATTCATTCATACAGTTTTGTATTATTCAAAATTATCAGTAGATTGTGTGTTCTACAAGGTCACCAGTACTTCACCTTTCATCTGATACCTTAGTTATAGTTAAAGTTTAACATTTTTGCGTAGAAACTATTTTGTTTTAAAAATGTACTACTTTCCGGTATGTTTCTGACCTATTAGGTGGTGTTAGATCTTACAAAGTCTATCCAAATTATTTTTGCGAAGAATTCCGCTCAAGACAGTGCGATTGGCCGTCTCAAACTTGCAGTGAAGTGAGAGTTTTTATTTGCTCCGTGTTGAAGGCCTCATTGTGACTTTGAGATGAAGAACAGCATTTAAAGCGCTGTTCTTTTGATGTTCGTGTGTGTTGTTTTTGTGTGCATTAACTGATTTTGTGTCATTGATAGATACTCTATATCCTTTGTTTTCTATTATATGAACGTGAATCAGCCACCACTCATCATATATTTTGTATTGCTTAACAGTTGGTTAGTATATACAGTACTATATCATAATTATGCGTTCAATACGTACAACTGCTGATTGCCATAGCCTTTAAGTTTAGTCACACCAGCAGTAATTCCAACTATGCCAGCAGGAACAACTGGAAATAAAGATTAAATTGTGTTGTATAGAGCGAAGCCTACTAATTATCTTTATAAGAGTTATGACACTGTAATATTTGCAATACGCACAGTACACTTTGTTTAGCACTTCCGTACATGTTCATGTTATCATCCCTGTTTTTAAAGGGACATTTATTCCAGGGTTTGCAAGTTTGCTGTTTTTAAATCACATTATCATGGTGTTAGATGCTTTTTGTATGTATAATTTTTTAACTTTTTTGGTAATTATAGATGCCCTGCACTGACCTGTAAGTATGAAACCAAACTATCGTTTTTTTTATTATTGAAACCATGAATAAATTGATGTTTAAATTGATGTTTGCAGTGACGTTTTAGTCTTCATATCGACTAGCAAACAAATATGTTTAGCATGGAAAGCAAATGAGTTGTTCAATTATCAAATAACACTATACTTTTTGTAGATTTAAGGCCGTCTATTTGTAAGTGTGATGTACATCAATGGTTTTTTTTTTTTAACTTACTCCAACATGCTGTTATCAGCTTATGAACTATAGAATTTGTTGGGAAAACAAATACTACCATTCTCACAATAAGAATACCCTCCGCCAGCATGAAAGCAAAGTCAGTCAGGAACATAAAATGCAAACCAACTGCAATCGCTGAACATATAACCTTTAAATAAGATTTACAAAAAAAGCATTACAAAAAATATAATAATGTTGCAAAATTATAAAGGCAGTAAATCTGTCTCATTGGCATTTGCAATAAAAACTGCATCTTTCTTATCATAGTTTCAATAATACTTCCCTTTTATTGCGATTTCGACATACCAAAATGTTGACAAAGGTTCGTGACTTCATCATTGTTTTTTTTTAGAATCATGTTAATTGCTCTTAATATAATACTTCACATTGGCTTTTTGCCAGGAAAGGTACATTCTACGTAGAAGCCATTGTTACTATGATAGCTCAATTAAGAAATTAAAGATGCACCGTGAATTTTGAGTTATAACTGTAATAATTGTTTTTTTTCTGTACAATGCTAGTCGATTAGGATTTGCTGAAGTAGAACTAAAATTATTTTTTTTCATATTTTACTCAACATTTGCCGTTGGTTTTTATTTTTATTTTCTTTTTGCTTTTGTGTTTGCTATCATTATGTTATGTGTATTTGCTTAAAACGTGCCTTATGAATATTTATAAAAAGATCAAATCATATTCACCTAAATCAGTCTAAACCTTTTTATTTTTTACATAGTTTGGAGTTTTTCTCGAGGAACTGTTATCCAAATAGCTTGTTCAATTCATTTGTAATCTTTTCAAATACATTGAAAAATTATGTGTGCTTAAACCATTGTTGGTTAACAGTAATGGATATTACAAAGCGTCTGATTAAACTTTCTATTTGCGTTAACATCAACTTTTTTATGCTGTAATTTTGTCTCTGATGGAATGTTGTGTTATTGACAAGCATACACCATCATCTTATTTTGATAATGACAGCTTATTGTTGTTATTGGATACCAACGTAGATCTTCGTCGTTGTCATTTTGTCCTAGACTTATATGTTTTAATGTTTAGTTGGTCTCTTGTTTCAGTTTTGAATCACATGTTATACTAATTATATACTATATGACTTCTTTCCTGTTTTTCTTACTTTATTCTCTGTTTGTGTTATACCAGCTAAGAAAATTACATACGACATAATCAATGCCACACATAGGTTCATCAGTGTTTTTGTTCTATCAGTTCTCACATACCTACAACATTTACAAAACCGATCGATATATGAGTCTTGAGTAAAGCTACAAAATCGAATGATACAAACGCACAAATGTCAGGTTAAGTATGTGTTGTTGTATCACCGGTGGTGTTAAATCGCGTTCAAAGACGTCACAATCGTAGAAATAGGACGAAGTTGTGATCTAGAAAAAGATAGATTATATGTATTGACGTTGTTTATAATCTTAATTAAGTGTTATAATGTTCTTTTATTTGTCTTTGCAAATTATTAACCTTAACTGTTTATTTCTTTTTTGGATATAAGTTTTACCTGCTAAGCTTTTTTTATGAAGTTAACATCAAAAGAGTACAGTAACATATCATCAAGTCGAAAGAAATAGTAAGTTCTCACTTGAATGCAGATTTTCAGCTGAACGACATACGGACTGGATAAATATATAGTTATTCAATGATTTAGTACAAACATTCGCGGAACTTATTTCTGTATTTTGCACCATGATGTTTATCAATATCTTTAAAACAATATATTAAAACGCGGTAGTGTTAAGCAGTGTTACGATTGGCTGTTTCGTTTTTTGCGGTCTATTGGTGTTTACCTATAATAGTTTGATGAGTATCATTTATCTGTTTGCATCAAATATCGACTAACGTATTATAATTTTTGCTAGTAGTAGGGATACATATTTAAAATTTGATGATCTTCCACATAATATTTTACATTTTAAAGGTTTTCACATGCAGTAATTTAAAAATTAACAATACAAAAAAAACTATTTCATAACAATCATGTTATACTTCAACCAATATATTTATTGATCATAGCTTACTAAAATATTCCGTTTTTTTATGTATAAATTGATAAGAAAGTAAGGTTCCAACTCAATTAGGCAAAGTTGACCTTATTTTGATTTGGTTATTTTGTTTAGGTCCGTCTTTAGTCATTTAGCTCTTCTGTTTTGGTTCTTCAACATCTTTCGCTTCCGATATTCGGTATTATACGTTCCTGTTCAAAGTTATTTTTAGAAAAGCGCTTCCGATGCTTACAATTTATAAAGCGTTTATTTCATTAAAAAAAAAACCACAACAAAAAAACTGTTACATTTTTGTTTTTATACTTTTAAGTAGTTTTTAAGTAAATATCTAGTGAAGTGCTGTATAATTTTAGACGGGTCAAATGAAATGTTTCGTCGATATTACGGTTTCTTCATCTTTGATTTTGTTTAACCTGTAGATGTATCAGGGCTAGACACAAAACTGATTTTTTTCAAAAATATACAAAAAGAGTAATCCTGGCAATTGTTATAAGTAAAAATACAGTAACATTGGTTTCTATTCCCAAGGTCATCATGCACTAGTATTTTAAAGGTAATAATTGGCCACTGGTTACGCCGAATGAATTAAAAATGTGTACAAATGTATTTTATTAAAAAAACACTCTCCAAAAAGCCATATATGTGTTAAAATAAATGTCTTATATTGGAAAAGTATAGACCATCCATTTATTTTGTAGTTAAAGCTCAGTAAACGCCTGGATTAACCCTCGCCAGGACAACAATGGTTTTAGTATGCCTATAAGCAAATCAAATTATTATCAAATATTATAATGCGTATGCTATTTTTTTATCAAAAGTGTACAGAATATTGATTAAAGGATTAATTGGTGCAAAACACCTTTTTACGTTCCGCTGATATTTCCGTATAAGTATTCATAACAACAACACATGAACAATGCACAATTGAAATTTGTAAATCTTACCTCCAAAGAACAAAATGAATGAGAATTGTAATGACCAGAAACAAAATCGACACTCCACATCCGATGGCTGATATAAGGCTCAGTGGAAAATGATGAGACGGTGGCTTGTAAAGATAGTAAAATTATATTTAGAAAGATAGACTGACATCAGAGTACAATTTTAAATACTTGTGCAGACTAGTTATACTGCTTTAGTAGTTTGTCGATGGTTCTGCACAAATAACCAATAACGAAAGGTAGAAATTTAAATTTTCAGGATAATTGAGGGGAAGAAACCAACAACAAATTCAAACACAATCGTAATATAACGGAGGTGTTACTTGTTAAAGAGGACGAAGTCCGTATACATTAGTATTCAAATATTTTTTGTTTGCAAAATGTAAAGTACAGGTAATATTATCAAGTATTTTACATTTTACAAGGTATGGCATGGAAAAAAAATACAAACGAAAATCAATATCATTTAAAACACACATAACTTTTGAGACAGCCTACATCATTCGCTCAAACAACGACTGAACAATAAATAGCATATTACCTAATTGCAAAAACAAAAAAAGGATTCCCAGCATATTGTTAATTACTGTTGAAAAAGTAACTGAATAACGGAATCGTTTACGATGTAAATAGATTTTTAATGATGATGTCATTTTCAATGTAAACAAAAAAACGCTATCTTCAGGTAACGTTTTTCTTTTTCATATTGAAGTATTATTTCAACAATATATATCTTAAAACGACGAATGAAGAAACAAAGTCGTATTATTATCAGATATATAAAATCTGCCTGATTGATTGGCCGAGTTTTCCCAGAGAACTCATATTGTTTGGTTTAAAATCGTAATTTGGATAAGCACTGGACTCATTTTAAAAAGATACGGAATTAAATTTCATTAACTAACTGCCAAAAATCTTTCAGTAAACAGATGCAGGAAGGGATGAAACGATTTATGCGCAAATGAGGGAAGCAAAATAAAAAGGTGAACGATTTTGGATTCATTTGTATATTGATTTTGAATTGGTGTTGGTTTTTGTTGATTTTCTACTTCGTTCTTATATATAAAAAAAAGTGACCAGGCCCCAAATGGGGGAAGCAGAATAAAAGAGAGTGAACGATTTTGGATTTATGTGTATATTGATTTTAGATTGATGTTGGTTTTTGTGGAATTTTCTACTTCGTCCGAATACAAAAAAATAAGTGACCAGACCCCTTCAAAAAACGAAAAACGACGGAAAAACAAATGTTTGAGAATATGATCTTGGCATTACAATCCTTCATAGCTTAGGATAGTACGATCAGTAACCAAAATGACGTCAAACTGTTCGACAGTTGACAGATTGGGCGAATTGAATTTAAAAAAAAAAAGCAATGTTTTTAGCAAAAAATGGCATTCTACTTAATTCGTAGAATCTCCAAAACAAGCATTCACCAAAAGATGAAACATTACTTGAATAAAACATAGTCTGCTTGTTAGGATATGTTACCTCATACATATATATGCATATTTCATGTTCAGACATTTTTGAGTTGTTGAATGCATGGATTTTGTTCAATTAGCTAAAAAAAAAAAGTCCCAAAATAATTGATAAATGATAGTCCATGGCTGATATAAATCTTAAGACAAGGTCACGGTTTAAATGCTCGAAAATTGAGAATTATATATATAAAGTATACTGGTGCTGTCAGTACAACAAAATAATGCAGAAACAGTAAGACCCTTATCCTGCAAACTAACTCTAATGACTTCCAACACGTAGGGTATGAAAAGTGCATATTTCAGAAATATTAGTTCAATTTAAATCCATTAGCATATTTGCACATGCAAATAATAATCACATTGATTGGAAAGAACATGAAAATAAACTTCGCTGCACTATACTTCTTGTTGTCATCCTTATTCGTTTTTCATATCACGAGCATAAAATATTTAGAGAATAAATATAATACAATTATAGAAATAATAAAATGTAAATGTGGTATTTTATTGAGAAACTTTGATATAATATCTAATTGAAGTAAACATACTGTCCTCCCTGGGCTCATCAAAATGGCAAAATTAGTTGTGTGATTATATTCACATATCGTGTAAGAATCAGCAGCATCAACAACTCGTGAACCAAAAGTCGACCACGCTCCATTAACAGTATTCCTATGCAATAAAATATACGTGTCACAAATGCAGTATTTTTGTTTATATAATCTTGCAAAACAATATCAAAGGGTAACTGTTCTCGAAAACGTTACATAAATGCTAATGATTATCTTATATATATAAAAAAAAAACATTGAAAGATGATGTTTAAAAAAAAAGTTAAGAATACAGACTGAACACACATTGATATCAATCAAGTTGACTATTCTGGACTAGCAGCCAGTAATTGCGAGTGCTCTCGGACCTGTCCCTAGTATCCTTGTTGTTTTTATGGGAGGGATGGATAAATACCCTGCCACGTCCGGTCTGTTTTTTTGGTAGATATTTTTCTGCTACCCGGATTTGTTTTATCAATTTATGCTTTTTGAACACCGGTATACTACTGTTGCCTTTATTTTGTATCGATCTGATGAGTTAAGCTCTATTTCAAATGATTGTTATAGTTTGTTCTTATGTTGTGCAGTAACAACACTGTCCCAGATTAGGGGAAGGTTGAGTGCTCACAAACATGTTTAATCCCGCCACATTTTGCATATGCCTGTCCCGAGTCAGGAGCCTGTAGGTAAGTGGTTGTCGTTGGTTCATGTCTGTCATATTTGTTTTTCGTTAATTGTTTTGTTATAAAATAAATTAGACCGTAAGTTTTCACAGTTAAATTGTTTCAATGTCCTGGCCTTTTAAAGCCAACTATACAGTTTTTTTTTAAATCATTTTTGAAGGCCATACGGTTGCCTATGATGCATGCATTCACTTCATTTGAACTTTGGTGGGTAGTTGTGTCATAGGCAATCATGCAACATCTCCTTATTTTAAAATATATTGTTTCCAAAAGGCATCCGTATTTCATGTTGTACTTGATTTTCATATGATGAAGACATCATCTTTCAATTAGTTTAATTGAGGTGTAGAGCTTGCATGTCAGTAACTACTAGTAGTTGTTTGTTAATTTATGTATCATTGTCATTTTGTTTAGTTTTTTTTGTTACCTATTCTGACATCGGACTCGGAATTCTTTTAAACTGAGTTTTACTGTGCGTATTGCTATGTGTTTCTTTGTTCAACATTGGCTTGACGTAAAGAGGGAGGGTTGAGATTTCACAAAACATGTTTAACCCCGTCGCATTTTTGCGCCTGTCCCAAGTCAGGAGCCTCTGGCCTTTGTTAGTCTTGTATGGTTTTTTTTTTTTTTTTTATCTTAGTTGATTTATATGTTTTGGAGTTTACTTACTAGTATGACGTCCATTTTTACTGAAATAGTCCACAATTTTATTTGAGGGACAGATGAGGACCACCTCCGGGTGCGGGATTTTCTCGCTGCGTTGAAGACCCGTTGGTGGACTTCAGCTGTTAACTACTCTTTGGTCGGGTTGTTGTCTCTTTAACATAATCTCCATTTCCATTCTCAATTGTATTCAATACATTTTTCATAAAATGTGACTGTTATAAATGCCGCTCTATGTGTTTAAGTAATGAATTCGAACAACCTTCATGTCCTTGTGTAAAACACGTATTTCTGTTCTTAGTGAAGGGAGGATTGAGTGGTCTCAAACAAGGTTTACATCACCACATAAGTTGCCTTGTTATTCATATTTGTTTTCGTTTATTATTTAAGCAGAAATTAGGACGCTGGTTTTTTCGTGTTTTTTGATAATTGATGCAGGGAGTACATAGATATAGGAAGATGTGGTATGAGTGCCAATGAGACAACTCTACATCCAAGTTACAATCTATAAAAGTAAACCATTATAGGTCAGGGTACGGCCTTCAACACGGAGCATTGGCTCACACCGAACAGCAAGCTATAAAGGGCCCCAAAAAATTACTAGTGTAAAACCATTCAAACGGGAAAACCAACAGTTTAATCTATATAAAAACGAGAAACGAGAAACACGTATGAACTACATAAACAGACGACAACTACTGTAATCAGATTCCTGATTTAGGACAGGTGCAAAAATTTGCAGCGGGATTAAACGTTTTATAGTCTATATCCATCTTTTTTGTTTCTGGAAGATAGTAGTCTCATTGGCCATCATGACAATTGACTTCACTTTTAAAAAGAATGTTCATACTTACGGTGCACTGAAATCCCAATGTCCACAAAATGGTTTGGAATAGTCTCCCTTATTAAAAAGAATACCAAAACAACAATGTCATTCTAAACATAGTAATGCCATATTCTAACACAATTATCATGTATTCAGATTGTTTGTAGAGTTTGTATAACAAAGTCACCACCGTGAGTGTTTAATTCCAACAAATTGCTTAGAGGTGTTTCATATTCATAATCATACTCCTTTCTTGATTATAGTGCCTGCAGATTTGTAAACAATGCCTTTCGCAAGAAGACTTTTAATATTATTAAGAAAATCACGATATCGTCAGAAAATTGAAACTGAAAATGACAAAGCAAAAGTAGGACCACACAGAAGATAAAACGTTGCTTCTACTGTTATTTATGTATGTATGTAAAGAAAATATCAAAAAATAAATATAACTGGTTTATACAAATGCCTGAAATAGAACATTTTGCCTAGTAAAAGTGTATGTTATAAAATTAACGGTGTCAATTAAATGTATTTGCAGTGATGCTCGAGAGAAAAATATCTTAATGTAACAAAACTTAAACAAACTCTACAAAGTTAAAATACCCAGCAAGGACCAACATTAAATCCAAAAATCAGATAGTGCTATGTATGCCCGAGGGAGATACATTGATATCTTAAAAGAGATAATGATATTATCACAGCAAATTTAAGTAGAACAATATCTGTATTTCCATGCCAGTATCGAGGTACTGGCTACTGGTATGATGATACCCTCGGGGACTAACAGTCTAACACCATAAGTTTACTTCGGTGGTAGAAATAACATCAACGGTACCAATTTAATTGCACTATATTCACCTTTTAACAATTAATGTCACACCACCAATGTCCGGAGCCAAAACATGTTGTGCATCCAGACAATTTCAAACAACAATAAATGTAGCAAGACTGAACAGTGACAGAATACTAAAAAGATATAATTTTGAAAAATTTACTCACCAAAAGGTGTTCGAATTTTATAATTAAGGAATAATCCGAACAAGTTGTTCCATGAATCGTAAAATCAGCCTAAATAGAATTAACACCATAACTACCATTAAATGGTTTTATGTTCCTGCAAATAGAATAAATACAGTTATATTTTAATTGAATGCAACAAATATAAAGACAGTTTTTGTATAAATTAATTGTTAAATGCTATTATCAGCACGCGTTTCTATATTAAATTGGCCGGTGTTAGGAAGTCGGAGTGCCAAGCGAGAACCTCATAATATACGCAGGCTAGATCAGAGTGAAACTAAATATTTTAAAATATGTACGGGGCAATACTGATATCAAAGGTGTTTCAAAATTTTACCGAAACAGAGTACATTACCATGAAAAAGGATAAGCTAAAATACCGAACTCAAAGATCAATTCAGAAATGAATTGGTTCATTAAACCTGCCAAAATCAAACGTTCCGCTATATACACTAAAGAACAAATGGAAAACCACTCTCGTATCAAACAAGTATAACATATTTAAATAAGGAAGTAAGGATGCCGGTAAAATGTACGAAGGAGAACTCAGCGTATAAAGAGTCCGGAGGTCACAATCTAGTCTTCAAATGTTTTAAAACAATAACACGAACAAATGGAAATTGTCTAAACAGTTTAGTAAATACAAGTCCAGGTCTATTTTGGTTATTCTTTTATCCGTAACAATAAAAGGAGAGGAGAGGTGGGCAGTTTGTTGATTTTATAGGATTAAAACATCTGCAAATACAATTTTAAACTTACCCATTTAGTATTATATACTTCGGAAAAAAACTTGAAATATTTCTATAGAATGTGCTGCTATATCCAGTCAAACCTGGAAAATACATTCTGAATATGTATTGTGTTTATCGCTTTAATTAGTACATGAGCATACATCCTTACACATTCTTCACCACGATTTAAACAAAAATATAATATAAAATGGAAACTGTTTTTGTTTTTTGGCCATTACACTCTGCAAATGTTTGGCATTAAACGAACAACGAAAACTCGTCCTATTCAGACCTGTTATAATGATTTTATGAATTTTTGCATTGATCTCTGGTACTAAATGGAGATATCCCAAACAACCAATTACTACATTGCCTGTTTAACCCCCTGGTTTCTCTCATTAGAGGCAACCATCTATAAGAAACTACAAAGCGGTACATTAAGAATAGGTTTGAATATAATAGAAATTTAAATAAAAATTATACTTAGGTAGCTAGTATTATACCTTGAGTGCGTACAAATCTGACATGTAATGACCAAATGAAATGAAATTAATAATTATATCCAACAGATCTACTAGCTTAACATCGAATGTAGTAACGAAAAGTTAATGCAAAAAGACATAATGACAAAGGTCATAAAACAGTTGCAACATGCGATTGCAAGAATGACCTTAAACTAGTTTTCCTATTCTTTTTGCACATAGTTTTGGTGCTTAAAAACATTATTTAAAAATTTGACCTTGAAATATTATCATATTGTTAACATGAAAATGTTGTCATGTACACATGTATCGTGAGAACGAAAATGACAAGAACAGTTTCTTTTTTTATTTGTTGTTATTTTGCCTTAATTTCTTTTTATGCTTTAAGATCACTGTAAATAACACATTAAGATGATACACGGATTGTTTTTCTTTAGTATCATCAGTTTTTTTGTCATTCCAAAACTTAACTGAGGAGTGCAACCCCCAAAAAAAACTGATGTTCAAAATAAAAAAAAAAATTGGAACAAATGAAAATGCAAAATGGCCAAGAATATATCAATCGCAAACAGCAGTGTATTATCAGTGTATAAGTTCTTTTTCACTTTTAATTGACGTCCTTTGTTTATAATTTTAAATCCTTGAGTATGTTTGCTCCAAATTGCTTGCGTCTTGAGTTAAAGCGACGAAAGATACGTGTATCTTGTTTTTGTTTTTAATAAATATTATTTATTTACCGCTACAGATATTTTTTTTCAGTTTAATTTCAGTCGCTGAATCTGATATCCACGAGTCAGATGTTTTCAAGCGGTCAGGTACAGTTCTCTCATCCGAACTAGCCATTCCGACTTGCATTACTGAAATATTATATATTTCTGGAATAACTGATATGTATATAGTATCAAAATTTTTTCAAAAATTTAACCTTCTATAGGTATAGGACTCTTTTAAACAACTGTTAATGGTAGTATACTACCACCTACATTTAATGAACTGTTTTTGTGTTGTTGTGGTGTTTACATTACAAAAGGAAATATTTATAGCCACATCCCAGCTGCGCCTGTATACGGAATACATAGTTCCCTATTGCTATGATATTCCTGTGCTTGTATTTTCTATCATTATTTCCTTGATATATGATTGTTGCTCACAAGGAAGCTTTTAAACCAAGAGTTCCAAATTGATGAAGTCAAATCATCCCATCGTGAATTTTATGGCCTCCATCACGAGTTGGTTGACCGTTACGCAATATCCCTTTTCACGAATGTGACCCACTGAATTAGAATTAGACTATTAACCGGGTTTGTAGTAACCTGGGCAACACGACGGTTGTCACATGTGAAGCAGGATCTGCTTACCCTTCCGAAGCACGTAAGATCGCCTTCAGTTTTTGGTGGAATTCGTGATGCTTAGTCTTTAGTTTTCTATGTTGTGTCTTTTGTACTATTGTTTATCTGTTTGTCTTTTTGTTTTTTAGCCATGACGTTGTCAGTTTAATTTTGATCTATGAGTTTGAATGTCCCTCAGGTATCTTTCGCCCTTTCCTTATCAATTGTCTATTGAAATCAATGTACTAAATATAACAACTGTACACTACAATTGGTTCAGATGAAGTTGTAATCTTCTTATTTGAAAATTGATAAGCTAGTGTATTTGCAACTATTTATTTTGAAGGATTATTTTGCTCATTTAGTCAGCATGTTTTAGTAAATGAAATGCGATAAAAGAACAATTGAAACGTTCTTGGATAATAAGTCTTACATGTAAGTATTTGATTGGAAACAATTTTGTTTAAAGTAAACGTGCAAATTGTCATCCCAGTTTTTCTCACTTCAAGTTTGACAGGTTAAGTTTCAAAGAAAGTCATTTATACTCACTAACACTTACAATTTTGAAATAATAAACTGCAGTACATAAGTCACCAGAGTTTAAAAACGTACCGACATTTTCCTTTGCAACCACCAAGGATAATTCATCGTCAATAACATCGTTAAATGCATTAGTATACTCTGTTACTGCGTTTACTAGTGAAGTAACACCACCTAAACCCTGGTGAAATGAATAAAAGGATAAATCGAGAATATCATATGTATCAAATAGATGTCTGATATATATTTGAACTATTAACAGCATGTCCCTTTTTATAAGTTTATTTTCCAAAATGTGGTAAGGAGCTTTGTTTTATATTGATTTGTTTCTTTTTGTTTTCTTTTATGGGGCTTTTTTCTCTGCCAACTCACTACCTGTCTCCCTTTGTATACATGTAATTTTGATACCGTTTTTGAATATTCAGTAATCTGTTAACACTTAAAGAAACGCGACGGGTATCAAAGGGACATCCAGACTCGTCGTCAGTTCACTTAAAACACCATGGCTAAGTAAGAAAGAAAAAAAGAAACAACAGTACACAACACACAACATATAAAACTGGAGTTATCAAAGGTGCTCCTGGAATGTAAGCATATTCTGCTCCCAATATGGCATCTGTCGTCTTGCTTATGCATGTTCAACCCTGTTGATTAGTTTAGTAGATTCAGAAGATTACATTTTGGGTAAGAGGGGCGATTTGAACACATCCGTTATAAACTGAGAAATAGATATTCAATAAAAGCAACAAACGCGTGATGGCGACCGTAAAATTAACGAAGGATTGGTTTCAACTTTAACACTTGTAACTCATGGTTTAAAAGCTTCCCTCTTGAGTATCAAGGAAATCATGATATAACATACTAGCTCAAGCATGTTGTATCAACTGGGAATATATACTCCGTATGCAGTCGTTACTGTAATGTAGTTACATAGAAATGGAAAATTTCACAATGGATAAGATGAAAGTTTTGTTTTCAGCCGACCCTATCGATCCTTTAAATTTACTTCTTCTAAAAGGTTATCAATTCAACACTGTAATTAGATCATTGAATATTGTTTTGATTGGTAAAAATATTGATTTTGTTATAAGTAAATTTAAAGCAAACTAAATATTATTGTAATATACATATACACATTTATGGATCTACAATCTGTCGATACCTGTATCTTGGCATTGCACAAGGTCATGTTTTTCTCTGACTGTTTATGACGTCTTTACGCTAAATCCATTATAGCTGGATGTGTACTGATTGATAATTAAGTCTCAGTTGCATGATTTTTTTTTATTAGTTGTTAGTGGATTTGCACTTGCTGTCAGTTACTGCGAGTACTATCAGATCTGTACTTAGTGTCGTTTTGTTGTTTAATGTTAAAGTACCCGGCTCCGTTCACTTGTATTTGTAGTATTTGTATCCATCTGACGAGGTAAGCCTTTTTCAACTGATTTTGATAGTTCGTTCTTATGTTGTACTGGTACACCACCGCCCTAGGTTAGAGGGAGGATTGGGATACCGCTAACATGTTTAACCCCACCACGTTTTGCATGTATGTGCCTGTTCAAAGTCAGGAGCCTGTAAATAAGTGGTTGTCGTTTGTTTAAGTGTTACACATTTGTTTTTTGTTCATTTTTTGAACATAAATTTGGCCGTTAGTTTTCTCGTTTAAATTGTTTTGCATTGTCAATTCGGGGCCTTTTATAGCTGACTTTACGGTATGGGCTTTGCTCGTTGTTGAAGGCCGTACAGTGACCTATAGTTGTTAATTTCTGTGTCATTTGCTCACCTGTGGCGAGTTGTCTCAATGGCAATCACACCACGTCATTTTTTTATTAGCTAATTGTATATTTCTAGACGGAAGTAATTGTATGAGACACAATTGTATCGGTTGTATCCATAATCATTAGTTTGGTGAGATAGATGCATTCGACACATTCACCAATTACTGAACTATTTACTGTGGAT